GGCGCAGGGACGGCTGTGCCAGGCTCGGACCTGGTGGCGGAGCAACTAGCTGCTTCCAGGGCGGGAGGAGCACAAATGCCTGGAGAGCAGCCCAAGCCCCGGGCCGGGCCGGGCTGCAGGCTCAGGCCTGCCCCCCGCCTCCTCCAGGAGGCCTTCCTGACTCCTCAGGCTGGGTCACGACCCTCCTCTGAGCCTGTGCCAGGGATCCCCACCCATGTTGGCCTCTGGCTGCCGACTGCGGACCTCAGAGCTGAAGAACCTGGCCTTGGCCCACGTGACCCCCCAGCACCGCAGCCCGGTACCTAGCAGGCGCCCAGGGAGGATGCTGAGTATATCAAAGCAGGACAAGCCCAGTCTGCCCAATCCACACCTGCCAGCTAGGAGGGGTCCTCACCTCAAGGGCCAAGTGAGGCCAACTGTTAACACCCAAAATGATGGAGTCAGCACCCTCATTACAATAGTACAGAGGAGGAAATCAAGGCACAGCACCTGCAGACCATCACCTTCAGGACAGATGCCTACACCGCCACGGTCATGACAGGCGGCCTCTCAGGACACGGGGTGAGGGACATCTTGTCCCACGGCCCTTGTCCGCTCTCTCCTGTGCCCCAGCCTGAGCCCCCAGCACCGCACACAGCGGCACTCCCACTGCGCCTGGCCAGGCCAGCCTCCGCCCACCCCCACCCCCACCCCGACCCCCAGTCTCAGGAGCAGAGCGTGGAAGGTGTTCCTACTATCGAGCATCACCTGGCCCGACGGACCCAGGCGAGGGAGGCCGGCTGGCCGGCGAGCCCGCTGCCCAGGCCCTTCCGGGGCTCGGCAGGCACACAGGCCCCGGAGCCCGAGTGTCCCGGCCCCAGCGGGGCCCCTGCCCCCCACCTGAGCGCCCAGCTGTCCCGCTGAGGTGGCACCTGCCTCCGAGCCCGAGTTTGAGAAGTAAACAGGGTAACGGCCTTCAAACTAAACCCCCAAAATAAATGTTTAAAGCTACGTTTCTGCTTGCACATTTTCAAGTTGACATCTAAAATTTCTCATCGTAAGTTTAAATACTTGTAGAGGATGTTAATTTCCAACATATTGTAAATATTAACATTTCAAAATAAAACTGTTACTATTTCTCTTTTAAATGGATCCAATGGAATCTAAATATCATAGTGATTTGAGATCAACCATCATCCATCTTAAAATTACAGAATCGGACGCTTCTTAAAAACACCTGGCAAGTTAGCAACGCTCCTTTTGCTGCCTCCAGCTTCCAATCCACATCCACGTCAGTGGGGTTTATGTTTGAAGGCCTTTTATTGAATAACCTGTTATACTAGCAGGCAAAAATAATAATAATAATAAAGCATATAAATGTTTTAATTTTTTTAATTTCATGTGTAAAACTGTCAAGTTTTCTTCTGGACAGGCTTATTATCACAATTACTAAGAGTATATAATTGATCAATATGACAGAAATATATTACAAATTTGTGTAAGTAATAAGCACAAAAAATTAAACATTGTTAGAAATACATCTCAGAAGAGATGAATGGAAAATTTTTTAACTGCTTCATGCTTCCACAGGACATTACCTATTGTTGCAATGAGACTGAGTTTATTATCAATTCTATCTCTATTTTTCAATTTTTATAGCTGTAAGTGCCGAGACTGCTCATTCAAATAGGATGAAACAGAGATTTACCCCAGCACATTCTCTGAATTCCTTCAGAATTAGTTGCCAAGAACTACAGTAATTTATCATCAAAAATCACTGTCAATGTACTGTCAGCTGACAACTCAATCAAGCCCTCTTTCGGTTTCATTGCAAGCAAAGAACTGGACGTCCCTCACTTGTTCCAGGATCACAGCAACCAGCTACGTGACATCGGAGGTTTTGCGCCCCACATCGCACACCAGATTCCCACCTGATAATGACAGCACGCGGGTCTCTGGTAGATGAGCAGCTTCTCGTGCGCCACACACTGTATCTACTGCTTTGTCCAAATTAACTCTATTAGTCCAACAACAACCCCAGGGCACCGGTACCATTGTTATTCTCACTTTACTGATGGGGAGACTGAAGCACTGAGCCCCAAACAGCCAGAACCACGACCCCAGGCGTGTCACTCCTCGCCATGCACGGCTCCGTGGGCACGGGAGGGGGTAGTGTGAAAGGGGCGGCTTGGGGGACAGTTTGCAGGCTCCCTCCCCGGCAGGTCAGCTGCAGGGATGAGCACGCAGTGGCCCAGGGGATGCGCAAGGCACTGCTTCGACGTGCTCCCGCCACCGCCTTGGACAACTCACACACACACGCACGCACGCACGCACGCACGCCTCTGTTACGTAAACACCATCGATGCCTGGCACCCCAAAGAACCAATAAATGTGAAACATTAATACTATCCCTACTGCCCTTTAATTAATAGCCAGAGGAGAAACAGCTCCCACAACAGGGACAAATACCGCAGACCCAACCGGTGTTTTAGTTCATTCCTGACCCTGGGCCCCCAAGTCCTTTTTTGAATAGCAGCCGACCCTGGCGCCAACAAGCCTGCAAGCACACAGTCAACAGGGCCGTAGCTACCACACAGGCTTTGGAGAGAAGCGGACCCGCATGCAAATCCCAACGCTAACCGCTTACCAGCTGGGTTCCTCAAGGGAAGTCACAACATCTGAGCCTGTTTCCTCATCTCTAGAACAGACGTGAAAACAACACCCACATCACTAGGTGGCTGCACAAAACGGGAGAACCCATCAGGGCATCTGACACAGGGAATAATGGGCGGTGGCGGGCGGCATGCGTGGCTCCCCCCTCCCATCACTGAGGGACCAGGCCAGCGCGCATTCAGCTCCAGCAGCCAGCAGCCCACCAGCCTGGGGATCGGGAGCACAGAAGCCTGGCTGATTGTGAAAAACCAGCTGAGTGGATCTGCTTCCAATTTTTGCAAAAAGCCTTTCTCTCTGTCTTGAAATTTCAAGTTCTCCAAATACTCGGGGATGCCAGCAAGAGTGAACACAGGGGTGTCATGGTGGTTTTATTTTTAGATGCCAGTGTGGAAAGCATCCATTTGGCTTCATTGTGGTCCCCAGGCACCACTTCCTCCCCTAAGGCATTGCCAAAATGAACAGCAGATACATCAAGACAGATTTCGTAACTTTCTGCTGGTACAGTCTAAAACAATGGCTCCAGCCGCCAGTTCCACCCGCATACTAAGTGGATTAAAGGCTTTAGTCTAAATCTCCCTGGGGAAGCGTGTAAACCAAATACCCTGGCCCCCGGGGTTGTCCCTCACGCTGAAGCTGTCAAGGCCCCCTCCCCTCCTGCGTTGGGATCTTCCACAGACAGGAATCAGGTATCTTCTTCCTGATTATCATAGTTCTTCCCCTTTTAAGCAGTATTTGTTGGTGAGCAGGGGAAGTCACTTCCTCTAGGCCTGACTGGTATGGCCTGGTTGGGCATCGTTCCACAAAGCTAAGGGTCCCCAGGTAAGATTCCCGGTCAGGGCACATGCCTGAGTTGCGGACCAGGTCCCCAGTTGGGGCACATGCGAGAGGCAACTGATCGATGTTTCTCTCGCTTGTCATTGTTTCTCTCCCTCTTTCTTCCTCCCTTCCTCTCTCCTTAAAAATAAATAAAGAAAATCTTTTAAAAAATAGTTGCTACACGTGAAAACAGCTCCCAACACAAATTTCTTTGTGGACCCTGTCACAAGGCTGGGGCTAACCTCAGGGGAGCACTTGGCCCTTCGCACACTAAGCTCCACCTATGGGGCCAGGCCTGGGTGCAGCACAGCGCACCTGCAAAGGACCCAGGGACTGCAGGGTAACCACTGGAAAGGACTGAGAGAGAAAAACAAGCCAAAGGATCCCGAGGCAGGACCGCTCAGATAAGTCCAGCATTCGAGTGACAGACCATACAGCCACACCCCTCTGCCCACCACAGGCATTATCAACCAATCCCCTCAGCCGTTCACAGATCTAGGACCCTCCAGGCAACCACTACCAGTCAATCAGAGTGGCTGGCCCTGAAGGCAAACTTCCCAGCCATGCCTGAACTCCGACGGCCCCCTCAGGATGTGTGGAGAAATTAATGGCCACAGAAAAGCTCAGGGCAGATCATGCACCTTTGCAGGGACCAGGGGAGCCTACGTGAAGACGCTCGAGCTGATGATGTGGCTTCCAGGAACTACCTCCTCCCCCAAAACAAACCTCAGCCTCCTGGGTGACAAGTTCAACCCACAAGCTGCAGAAGAAGAAGGCCAGATGGAAGAATCCAGCGGACGGCCACCAAGGCTGCCAGAGTGAGTTCGTCCCACGTCGCCAACCTCCCGCACAGGTGCTGCCAGGCCTGCATGTTCAGTTCAGGGCCACGGAGCCGGCTCCAGGCCCTGGGAGGGCTTCTCCCCTTCCTCCTCTCCCTCCCGCCCTCCTCCAGCCAACGAGCACCCGAACCCAGCTCATCCCTGGGTGACGCAACATGGGAGTCAGAAGCCCCCACTGACTCAGTCCACCCAGGAGCCGGGGACCCAAGGGAAGGTAAGATGTGGCTTGATATCCAAAAAGGGGAAGGTGCATGCCCCGACGGGGGGCTCAGGGAGGCAGAGTGGCCTTAGGGATGAGACCATGCACAGGAAGGTCTGACCCAGAGCGGGGCTCATCCCCAGAGGGCCGAACAACCACGGCGGGGGCTCAGCCAACCATGGGGGCATCAGGACCATGGCCTTCTGGCTGCCCAGCCTCCCCAACCTGCAGCCCCACCTCTGGCCCAGCCAGCTCCTTCACGGACGGACGGACGGATGGACGCAGCCAGAGCAACTCGACAAACCCGAGAGACCACCCGCCGTACCCCACCCCGTGCTCTGCCCAGGGAGAAGCCATGGCGATTCCACAGGGGAGACGGTAAAGACAAGAAATGCATGAAGAGAGGCAGGGCGCCCAGACCCCAGGGATGGGGGAACGGGGAGCACTGCGACGCCCTGGGCCTGAAAGACGATGAAGGCAAGGTGTGTACTCACCTGCACGACTTCTATCCCTCGCTTCCTGTGGAGGAAAACAAAGAAAACAAAGGTTACTTGGCAGACAGGGAGCATCCTTCCAGAATGTTCTCTATAGCCAGCTGAAGGCAGGAGGGTGAGGACAGCTGGCTGCCGCACCCCTTAGGCCATGCTCCCCAGAACGGCCTCATTTTCAAGGGGAAGGTCTACAAATTGCTAGCTGGTCCTCAAAGCCACCTTCCAGCAGAAAGAGAGGGATGGTTCTCCAGAAGGGCTTGGCCAGCCCTACAGGGACACCAGCTTGTTTTCCTCACAGCCAGCCATCCCCCTCCTCACCCGCGAGGCCAGCCTGGGCCGCCCACAATCCTTCCCACCCCCGCGGCTGGTGGCATCCCTCAGTCTGCCCCAGGGTGTCACACGCCCGCCCGCGCCCTCTCCCTCAGCAGGAGGCCTGCAAAGCCGGCAGCCGTCCCGGCGCTCGTCCACTCGCAGCCACCTCTGGCCACCACCGGCACCCTGCCCATCCTCTGGCGCTGGCTCAACCGTCTTGGCCCTCGCCGATGTCCCCCAAGCCTGGGCCTCGTCTCCCCGTCTCTTCCCCACAGTCCCACGGCCTCTGGTCTCCAACACCAGGGCGTGGACTCGCCGGATCCCAGCACAGAGCCTCCCAGCCTGGGAGTCTCCCCAGGGCCCACCAAGGCTCCCTGCCAACTCCCTCACTTTGACCTCCCCGTCCCACGTCCCGACTGCAAGTGCGTCCTGGCACACAAGACGACAGGGCTAGGTCACGTCTCCCAACCCTGGTCCCCACCTTCTACCCCAGCCTTGAAAACCCGGCTCAGACAGAAACACCCCCAAGCAGCCAGCCCTGACCCCCATGCCGTCACCGCACCCCCCCAGAGCCCGAGCCCTCCTGAGAACGCGGGCACCACCCTCCCAGCCCTTCGTTCCGGAGGGCTGATGGGCTGTCACTGGGGTGAGTGCTGGGGAAGGCACAGGGGCCTGTGTGGACAAGAGGTGGCAGGCCAACCACCGTGCCCACGCCCGTTTTCCTGGGAAGAAGGCGGGGCCACCCGCAGACACTTGGGCTGCGACCAGAAGTCAGGAACCGCGCTTACTTGCCCGCATTCCTTCCTTGACGCAGGGACTGTGGCAGATGGCGCCCACCTGGCACGCCGACGCTCTGTAAACATATACGTGTAAACCATGGCTCCATTCCTGGGCCCTCCGGGGCCCTCGGGGGGCTCGCAGTCCCAAGGAGGAGCCGGCCCGACGCTCCTGGGGAGCCCTCCGGGCCACACCTCACACAGCACATCTGACAGGAAACCTACCGCCTTACGTGTGCCGGTCCGCTCATCCAGCAAGTGTCCCCCAGCGCCTGCAGAGGGCCCGGCCAGGTGCGGGACCTCACCAGGAAGCCGCACCGAGACGGCAAGAATCAGCAAAGGGGGCACGCCAGGTCACACTGCAGGATGCGCCCAGCCGCCGGCCCCGCGGTCCCCAGTACCGCTACCGAACCCCCAACCCCAAGGAACCCAATCTGAAAACCACAGGGGTCGATCCAGGGGTCCACACGGTCTGTTGCCACCAGAACCAAGGAGACTGTCCTAGTGGCCAATATCCATCCGCTTCCATGATTCCATGAGAAGGCAAACTGGATACAACAGCACAGCCCTGGGCCACCAAAGCCCACAGCAGGGGGACAGACAGCATCACCAGGCACCTGTGCCACACCCAGCCATCAGGGCACTGCGTACACCCTTTCTGAGCCCAGCCTCACTCCTAGGCTGCTCCGGCCCCACGTGAACACTGGTGACAGCACTGCCACGGTCACACGGCATGTGGCTGTAACTAGCCAGGGCTCAGAGTACCTCCCCGCCCCGCCCCTGCTTCGGCACAGAAATCAAGTCCCCAGGAAAGCTCCGAATGACAAGATGGGACTGCACACTGGGGATAACAAGGCCACAGAAGGAGACCGGCGTGGGGGGGCGGGGGGCGGGCGGGGAGCACGCAGTGAGCCATGCCAGGCCAGAGGGCCTCCGCAGGCTCCGAGTTAATCCTCAAGGCACCCAGGTGACCCCCGTGGGCCTGTCGTTCTCCTCTTGGAGCTGACCTAGCAGCCATTTCCACTGTTTGTGACCACCCCCTTCCCGCCCCCGCCCCTGCCACAACAGCTTTCCCTCCACCAGTCCTAGAAAGGAACAGGTCTCTAACTTGGAAAACACAGGGAACTTGCAACAAAAAAGAAACAAAGTCATCCTGAGAGCAGACAGGGGGGAAACCTCAGGTGGGGTGGAGCTCCCAGGACAGAGAACACAGCTGCTCTGTAGCTCAGAGCTCCAAGAACAGAAGCTGCGACTCTGGCAGGAAAGGTGGGGCTTAGCTCCGGTTTCTGTCCACCTCGGGCCACCCCACGTGCACTAGGCCCCTGGGCAGCGCCCTGAGTGCCAGCCGTGCCGACGCCCTCCAACACCCTCCGCAGCGCAAAGGGATGGGCAGGCGGGCGGAGCCAGGCCCGAGAAGGGCCAGCCTGCTCCCCACTCCAGGGCCCCCGCGGAACAGGGAGACCGGGAAGGGGCAGGAAAATACAGTGTGAGCCTGCGGGCTCCCTTCTTCATCAGCAACTCCTGCAGGACACAGGGAGCCCACAACCTTCACTCCCCAAGTGGCAGGCTCCTGGAATCCAGCCATGACCAGAAAGTCCCGAAGCTGAACCATGCTACCAAAGGGGAAGAGGGAGGCGGGGTGAGGGAGGGAGAGAGAGACAGGATGGGGGAAAAGGAGGGAGGAACTGGAGAGCTTGGTATCAAGTGATTACCGGCTCCTGGAGACCCCAACTCCAGGATCCCACCCCACGGACATGCCAATGTGGCCCAAGTGTCTCAGGCTGTGGCTGTTCACTGCCACGCTGTCTGTGACAGTAGAAGACCAGCAGTGACCTACACCCCCGAGGAGGGGCACCCACCTCCAAGGAACACTAGGCGGCCGCTTAAAGACTGAGGAAGCGCTCTGGGCACCCGAAAGGCACTGGAGGCCTGTGCGAAAGCGCAAGCTGGAAACCCGGGCGCCCCACCACTGTCTGTGTTAAGCACAACATACAGTCCACAGAACCTAGAAGAAAAAGGCCGCAGGGTGGGCTCTTGTCGGGGGCCAGTGTGGCTGGGGTGGGGAGGTAGGGAACACTTCCTTTTCACCGTGCGGTCTTATGCATCGCTTGACTTTTGTCCTATGTGCCTCCAATATAATCTCAAAAACTAGACAAATAACTTTTTTTGCATTATCTTTTCAATGACAAGTAAAACTCTAGCTGCCAGCACTCCCAGCGCCTGGCATGAAGGAGCTGCCTCATAACGACTCGATTGACGGACGGATGAAGTGAAGCAGAGAGCTCAGGGTTTACCTGGGGAAGCTTCCAAAGTCCGAAAGAGCAGCTGAGATAACACCCATGCCGGGGCCAGCGGACTGCCCCACACGGGGACACCGATTTGGGTTCTGAGCCCATTCAAAGGCCCGGGTACCTGGGAAACAGGCCGGCGGGCACGCGCGGCAGTGTCGGCTGTGGCTGCAGCGGCCCCGTGGCATGGGGTTTGTTTTCCCTTCCACGCTTGTGTTTTCTAATTTTCTGTAATGAGCATAGATATTACTCCCAAAATAACAGGAAAAGTAACAATGAAGTTTAAAGTTAAATAACTAAAAAATTGTATTTAACACCTGCACCTGGAGAATTTTACGAACTGAAACTTGTTTTTGTGGCAAATATTGCCTTAGGAAGTTTAGGACAGAGGTCTAGCCCCCCAACTCATAAATATAAACCTGTTTTTCCAAAAACTAGATAATCACCAAAAGGAGGATCCATTTTGCAAAAGGAACATTGACCCCCCCCCCCCAGCCCCCACCCAAGTCCAAGGAGAGCAAAGCCAGGGGAAATATAAAACACTCATTTACAAAACAAACTATCCTTTCTGGAGAGCAATCAGAGAAGGCTTCACAGAGGAGGCAGCATTTGCTATTTGAACAAACACTGAAGGGAAACTAAGGAGAGCCACTGGGGAGGGGAAGGTAAAGATGACTAACATGAGGAATGCCCACTTCCCAAAAGGTGTGTGGGGGTGTGGGAGCACAGTGCGCCCCAGAGAGCAGGCGGGGTGATGGGAAGTGGGGTAGCAGGCGTAGGCTGGGCACGCCGCAGGGGCTAGGTGTGCCACGGCAAGGCCTGGCCTTCCCCTGGTGGGCGGCGGGCCCCCAATGCCAGGACAGGTGGCAGGACCACCACTGGAGCTCGTCAAAATGCTAACTTGAGGCCTGTCCTGAAGGCTGATTCCGGAGGCCTAGGGGCCAGGCGGGGAGCAGCGGGGAGGGGTTCGGGGTTTGCCAGGTGCCCAGGTGTCGCTTGGGGCAGCCAGGGACGGAACGGCTGCCAGTCCACCAGGGGCAGCTCCACGTGCTGCCGGCAGCGGGGCCCGACTTGCCCAAGGAAAGGGGGAGGGGGCAGGTTTCATTCAGGGGCAGCCCTTCCGGGTCTTGGGGACAGGAGCAAAGGGCACAAAAGCACCAGGAGTAGCTGTGATGCTCATACTCTGGGTCCAGGTGGAGGCCACACACCAGCACCAGGAGGGGACACAGAAGCCAGTCACTTTTCCATTTTCTCGACCATGGTGGTGCCAGAAGGTCATTAGAAGCCCGGGACTGAGCTGAGCAGACGGGGCAGGGACTGCATGAGTAACAGGGAGGAATGGAAGAGGTGGGGCACGTCCCCAAGGAGAACAGGGAACCAGATCCAGCTGCACCTGTGCCTCAGTCTCCTTACCTGTCGCGTGAGGAGACCCCTGGACCCCGGCCCACAAGGCTGCCGGGCCCGCCCTGGGGCTGTGGGCTCTGCCCCTGCTGCTCTACCCTGCCCACCTGCCTTTCGGCACTGCCCTCCTCTGCACCGTGTGATTCTGATGGGCAAGTGGACAACTGAGGGGCCACGCCCTCTCTGGGCGGTGGGCGGGGGCCTGGAGCCTCTCAGCTGCAGGACGGCTGTGGGCCCATGCCAAGAGGAAA